GCTTAATATTAAGATTATTTTTGTTCACAATAACATGGATGTTTTATACAGTATTAAATTGTAAGGTACCATGAATTAAATTGATGGAGGAAATTTGATGGAAATTAACAACTGGAAAAAAAAAATAGTGAAGGGCTTTGCTATTAACCTGCATTTTTGTTGCTCTAGGTTGCCACACTTATGGTATTGGAATACAGTAATAATCAATTGCAAGCTGAGCATATTGATAATAGGTCAAATCAGAATTTGTATTTACAATGAGGCAGAAATGACCAACATTAAACATGCTGCTTAATATGGAGGTTTTTATTTTTATTTTTCCTTTCAATATTAAAAGTCATGTTCGTTGTCCCTATGGCAGCTGGATCTTAAAAATATGCCCACACCCATTGCTCATCTTCTCATTGTGAGAACTTGTGACCAATTGGACATTAAACATTAAAAATCCAAATTCAAGTCTGTTTAATGAATAAGAGATAATGCCAAGAAATCGATAAAGTTGCTTTGAAACATGATAACATGTGTTTAGTCAGAGTTAAACTACAGGTGCACCACAATCCATGTCCATAGAGAACCAGAAGTTTTATTACAAACTGATAAGACAAAAGAAATAAGAAATAGCTGCCATTTCAATCTGTAGAGGCTTACTACATGAATGGCAGTTATTCCAATGAGACTTTATCAGCCCATATTATCATAAACGTAATGTTAGAGCAGTCTATATTACTATAACATGTAAGTCCTTTTCCATATTAAAACAGATAAGAACCTAGCAAAAATGAGCTTTACATTGCAAAATGAAAAAATGACTATTATTATAAAATCCAGTTTAAAATGACACTAGTATAACAACAAGACATTTCAAATCATCTGCCACTGACTCTCAACAAACAAGAACTAAACGAAGAACAATGTTTTGTTACTAAGCTCCAACTAGTTCAAGAAATTATATATAATAATTCTTTAAGAAAAACAGTGCAAAAATTCACAAGAGCCTAAAGAGTTACCTCATCAGCAGGTGGTGACATGCCAAACATGTCAGCAATACTGTCAGATACGTCAACTTCTGTATCATCGTAATTGTTCAAAAATTTCTCGGTGATCGACATGTTTTCATGCATTTGGACCAAAGATCTGTTGCAGAAGACGGCTTGAATCCAACGCCTAAGATAATGACCAAAAGCAGAAAAATAAAACAAATTAACACCGATCACCATAGCAGTACCGAGGTTCTTCAGAACAAGAGATACCCAAGACGTGAAATGTAATGGAGATACCCAAGACGTGAATGTAATGCTAACACTATAATAAACAGTCCTTCACAGAAAAAGACAAGGCAGCTAGCTACATAGTGACTGCACATCGCAGAATAACACATTGGAAAACAATCATAAACCTATAGGAATTATGTCAATGAAACCATGCTGGAGTAACCACTTATGGAAACTGAGGCTGCTGGAAGATGAAAACAAAGATTTGCTTAAGATAAAGGCAAAAAAAATTAATAAGCGAAATTAATAATCCATTCCTCATATAAGTAACAAATTATGCTACCCACGTTACATTAAATTTTCACAAAAAATGAATCTCATATTAACATAGAAAGTGAGAAGAATTATTACTAATCATGAAAAAAAGATGTAACTCATGCAGCAATATTTTTACATTTATGTGCACAACTAAGCATGAATGCTGGATTAAAATCTCATCATTTTTCTCAGCACTAGTAGATGAATGAACAACAACTACAATCATATAGCTTTAATCAAGGTTTTTATGATGCATATGGTAATATCTAGCAGCTAACTTAATCACAATTTATTGACTTAAAAAATATCAAAGACGATATCAGGATTTTAAATGACAATTTAAAAAAAAAAAATTCTTTCAACAATAAAGAGTTACTCCAATCAGTACCTATTCATCACTATTTCCAACGAGCGATTCTCAACTTGTTTACTGCAGATGCTAACTTCCTCGACACTAAACCCATTTTGCATAAAGAGATTTGCCAAGAATTTTTTGGAAAAGTAATAAGCACGCTGTGCAGGAAAGTATTAGTAAGAAAAAGGAATCCGGAATATCAAGTCCGTGTTAAAACTAAGCTCATCTATAACTTACTGTTCCATCACCTCTGACATAGAAGTTCTCACTAATCTGCTGCTCTTTGCAAGTGAGCCTTTCCTGTAAAATATTTGTAATTATATGCTTGTTTGTTAGAATTACCAAATCCCAGAAAGAAGTATAATTATTCCCTGGTGAAGCAAAATAGAGAGTTCAGTACAAACTGAATGGGAACATGACAACCAAAATAAATTCAAACCAAGTTGCCTGTTGATTAAAATAAATTCTTATGGTGAACAATTTTGACAAAACCAATATGAATAGTGATATTGCAAGCAAGTTCTGAAGAGAAGAACATTCTACATGCAAAACAGACAAGTAGGCAAGGGGCCACATGTAAGTTTTGGTTAAAGAAATTGTACCTAAGAGATAACTAGGCAAGGGACC